AATTCTGTTTGCATTTTTCTGTTTCTTTTGTGCTGATGTTGGTAAGATGTGCTTTGCAAGGCATTTAACCACTTGTCCTAAGCTTTGAATATTTTAAAAGATTTCATCTATTTATTTGACAGGGAAGAGCACAAACAGAGGGAGTGGTAGGCAGGAGCAGAGGGAGAAGCAGGCTCCCTGCTGAGCAGGGAGCCTGATGTGGGGCTTGATCCCAGCACCCTAAGACCATAACCCGAGCAGAAGGCAGATTCCTAACTGACTGAGTCACCCAGATACCCCTAAGCTTTGAATTTATAGGCATCCAATTATCAGTGCTTTTGTCCTTTTTTTGAGAATTGAAACTCTTTTCATTATGTAATAAGCCCCTTTATTACTGGTGAAATTTCTTGTCTGAATCCAACTTTTTTTTCAAGATTTTATTTATTAATTTGAGAGAAAGAGCATGAACAAGGAGAGGGAGGGAGGGAGGGAGAGGAGGAAGCAGGGATCCCAGCATGAGGCTCGATCCCAAGACCCTGAGATCATGACCCAAGCCAAAGGCAGATGCTTAACTGACTGAGCCACCCAGGCACCCCTGAAGCCAGCTTTGATATTAATAAAACTACTTCAGCTTTCTCTTGAGTAGTGTCTACAGGACATCTCTTTTTTTTCTCCCAACCTGGGTCTTTATATTTAAGTTGGTGGCTCTAGAGGCAGCAGATAGTAGGGTCTTATTTCTTTATCTAATCTAATGATCTAAATTTTGATTAGTGTAGTTTACATCACATGTGACTATTGAATTAAAACCTATCATCTAACCAACTGTTTTCTATTTGTTCCATTTGTTCTTTGTGTCTTTTCTCCATCCTGCTTGCCTCCTTTTTGATTAATTGAGCCCTGTTTATGATTCAATGTTATTTCCACCATTGGATTCTCATGGACACCTCTGAAAAAAAATTTGGTAGCTACCTTTGGGGTTACCGTATATGTCTTATATAATTAAAATCTACATTCAACTAATATTCTGTTTCATGATGAGTGTAAGGACCCCAATACAGTCCTGAATGTCTTGCTCACATTCCTGTTTTATTGCTGCCACATACTTACTCTTACATATGCCATAAAAACACAAGACTACTATGTTTGCTATAGAGAGTTATCTTCCAGAACAGTTGAAAACAATAAAAACTGGATGTTGAACTTTATCTTTAGTTATTTCATTTCCAGGGTGCTCAGTTTCTTTGGGTGGTAGATTCCAGTTTCTGTCTGTTATTAGAGTCCTTCTGCCTGAAGCCCTTCCTCTAACCTTATTTACAGCATGGGTCTGCAGGCAATGAATTCACTCAGGTGTGGTTTGAGTTTGTGTTCAGCAGTCTTTATTTCTCCTTTGTTTTTTCTTTGAAAGACATTTTTGCTGGGTATAGGATTCAGATTTGACAGATTTTTATTGTTCAATTACAGAGATATAATCCATTATCTTCTGGGTTGCATAGTTTCTGATGAGAGATCTGTGGTATTCTTATCTTTCATTTTTATTCTGCTATATAGAATGTTCTTTCTGTCCTGCCTGCCTTCATAATTTTCACTTTGTCCCTAGTTTTCAGCAGTTTGAATATAATATGCCTTTGGTGTGGAGGTTCTTATGGAAGGGTTGCATTTATTCTCCTTGGTATTCTTTCAGTGTCTTGGAATAGTTTGATATCTGTCATTCATTTTTGAAGATTCTTACATATTAATTCTTCTTATCATTTCTTCCTGGCATGCTAATCACACTTAGATCTTTTATGTATACGTATCTCTTGGATGCTCTCCTGTGTTTTGCCCTTCAAACTCCATCCTTCCCCACTGTTCTTCAAATCAATGCTGGGGCTGTTATGAATTTACTTTCCATATGTGTGAGGCTGACTAAAGAAAATTTTGTTGCTGGGACACCTGTTGCTGAGAGTCTGCCTTTGGCTCAGGGCATGATCCCAGAGGCTCAGGATTGAGTCCAACATGGGGCTTCCCCTGGAGAGCCTGCTTCTCCCTCTGCCTGTGTCTCTACCTCTCTCTGTGTGAAAAAACAAATAAAATCTTTTAAAAAAGAGAAAATTTTGTTGCTGTCATCTCCTCTCTTCTTCTCCAAATCCCTGAAGGTTCGTCCTTTTAAAAGATCGTTTTCTGCCATTTTAGGAAGCTGAGTGAAAGTAGTTGCATGTGTGCAATCTGCCATCTTTACCAGGAGGTCAGCTTTGAATTTCATTATTTAAATAAACTTAAGCAGTGATAAGGATGAAATTTTCTATCATCTTTGGAATGAAATAATATATTATGTTTTATTTTCTCATTTTGAAAGACTTTTGCATCCTCAGAAATAAGAAAAAAATTACAAATAATAATAGCTAACATTTATCATATATTCTACATGCCAGTGTTGTAAATGCCACTCTTGTACTAACTTAATCCTCACAGTGACATTCCAGTCTAGACAATCTTATTATCCTCAGTTTTATAGTTGAGAATAAACTGAGGTACAATTAGATTAAGTAATTGGTCCAAACATTCAGAAATAGAAAATGATAGAATTTGGTTTTTAACCACTCTACACTGAGTGCCTTTAGCAGATGGGAAGATAAAGGCTTTTAGGTAATATATCTTTGCTTTTGGTCTCTGGAATTCTTCATGTACTACTGTTACCTCTCTAAGAGTCATGGTCTATTAATCAGCAAGTACATATGCAGTGCCTATTATGTGACCCAACTTATTTTGTCCACTGGGGGTGTAAAGAACATAGCAGGGCTATTTCCTTCAGGGAGTTTACATTTCTCCAAAGAAAAGGGTCCCCAAAATATGAAAATAAGTTTTATAGTCCAGAGGGGTATCACCATTCAGGGAAAAAAGAAACCTCAATTTGATCTGGGTGCTCAGAAACTATGGGAACACATTAAAAACAATGACAACCATTCAAAAGTGTGCTCAGCCCCTAGATTATCCAGAGAGGTTTTCACCTTTCCTTTTACCTCTTTTTGCCCCCAAATTCTTTTTTTTTTAATTTAGTTTATTTATTTATGAAAGACACAGAGAAAGAGAGGGAGGGACATAGGCAGAATGGAGAAGCAGGCTCCCTGGGGGGAGCCTGATGTGGGACTTGTTCCCAGGACCCTGGGATCACACCCTGAGCTCAAGGCAGATGCTCAATCACTGACCCATCCAAGTGTCCCTAATTTCCCTAAATTGTTTGCTGTTGTACTATGTATAAGTACTTCTTCTACAGAACAAAATAAGAGGATTGTTTACAAACTCAAAAGTTCTTTATAAAAGCTTAAAGTGGAAAGAGTCTCAAATTCTTGGTCACACTCAAATTCTTGGTCTACACATGTATCACCTGGAAGAGATACACACACATACACACATGTACACACACTTTATCCCAACTATTTTCCTTCCCCCATCAGGATGGTTAACGGAGAATTACCACATCTTAATGGTATTCCCTAGTATTTCTTTAGTAACTGTGAGTAAATAAAGGGTGTAGCTGATACAATATTATCTTTAGATTGGCTAGCACAGTATCTGAGTCTTCAGAGGCACCTGACTAATATTCATGGTTTCACTGATTGAAGGAATGAAATGAAAGGAAGCCGAAGGTGAACCGTCTCATAAACAATAGTGATCATGAGTCTGTATTTTGATTTGAAGAGATTTTCCGCAAGCCTCATGCATCAGCATGTCTCAGGGAGGAAGGATGCTCTGTAGGATCAAGGGACTATATTCATTCATAGTCATGCCCCACACCCTTCCACTGCAGTGCAGTAGCTGGCAGATAGCAAATACTCAATAAATACTTGTTGGATGCGAAAATGAATCATTTGGCAGTACCTACTTGGATGCTGGAGGAAGCCGATGTGCCACATAACAACCTATCCAAGGGAAAATTTCAGACAAAACTAAGAGTAACAACAGAATAATTTTTTAGGAAAAAATCTGACAAGGTAGTGGTCAGACCATCCACTTTGGGACCATGCAGATCTGGGATGTGGGACCGAGTCTGCCACTTATGAGCTAGCCATGTGACCTCAGGAAAGTTGCCCAGCCTCTGCAAGTCTTCATCTCCCAATTTGTCCATGGAGGGCCATACCAGTATTTCATATTTGTTGTAATGATTAAGTCAAGTATTCTACATCAGGAGCTTATGTCATGACCAACTGCCTTAAGTGCTCAACAAATGGTAAATAACTAGTTATTGTTACACAGAAATTTCAGAAGTGGAGACTATGGCCATTCGGATCTCTAGAGAATCTTGACAAAAATGGGGAAACCTAAAACGGAGGTGTCTACATCCTTCCTATGTTCCTCTTTTCTTGCTTGAGGAATTTTGAGTGACCTTCATTTGTCTGTATGGGTATGTGGAAAGGTACAGGATGGGACAGGAGCTAGAAATCCTTTCCACTTCTAGAGAAATGCCCTCTACCAAGGATTTATGCTGACAGGGCAACAGAGGCCCACCCTATCAGCTGAGAATGAAAACAGCTACAGACAATGGGATATGACACAGTAATGAGTTCTCATTTGTCAGGTGTCAGCTTGCTGATATGGTCTAAGGATATGGTGTTCAATAATTCTTAGAAATTGGTAATAACAATACCATTTACGCAGCAGTTCTTCTTGCAGTTTTGAAAGCACTTCCACACACACTATCTGTTTTAATTTCCACCACAACGCTACAAGGAACCTGAAATAAATACCACCACTCCCATTTTATGGATGAGTAAATACATTCTAAGAAGTGAAGTGACCAAGCCTCAGGCCACTCAGCTGCTCAATAATTGACCTAAGACTTGAACCCAAGTCCTCACTGTGGGTTCATTACTTTTTTTCCATGAAACTTTAGTAGGCTGTTTGCCTTACAGGATCCATCTATTTTGATTATGAAGTGTGCTTGCAAATGTACTAGGCCCTTAAGAATTTGTGTTTATAAAATCACTTAGTAATTGGTAGTATCAGCCTGTTTTTAAAATCTTATTTTCTTTTTAATCTAACAGGAAATGAAGTTTTTTCTTCTGGATACACCAGATCTTTGATGATGCCAGTAAAGAAACATCCACACCCTTTGGTTAAAAGATGAAGCATGAGGCTGTGGTTATTTTAATCAATTACTCCATGGAAGGTTGAAAGCTGCTAAGCAGAATGAATCTCACAACAGAGAGCAGTAGAGCTCAAGAAGGTGTATGTAACCTTACCAGCAGATGAGGTCTTGGTGGATGCTTCCTGATTATGGTGTCCTTTTCATCCTCAATTTATATTCCAAGTTGTTACCTAGAGTAAATCCCAATGTTTCTAATTAATGAACTGTCGTTGTTTTGAATGGAAAAGGGAAAATATGTTGATCCCCCTGTAGCAGCACAGGAAATATGCCTAAAACGGAATATCTTTCACCATCATGAATAACATTAGTCTTTACAGTTCTCCAGAGTAAATTATTATTATATAGTTGGCTTCCTATTTATATAGATTGGCAGCATCCTTTGAGTTTCCAGGTGACAGGAATTCTCTCTAGAAGTCATTCTTAAGACTATTGTCAAACTCCTTAATGAAGAATTAGAAGCCAAAGTGGCTACGCTGTATGTACAACCGGTTGGCAACAAGCTGATCCTCTCCTTTCTGGATTCTTCAGAGAGGACTGACTGATAAAGCTATGAAGAGCTGTTGACCATGCCAAGTCTGCTGGTGTGAGGGCAAGACTTGCCGTGCCACAGTCTATCCTGAGCCTGTCTTGTGTATTTCCAATTACTTAAGTATGTGATCCTTACATACACCCATGCCCTCTGATGAGATGACATGGTGATCATGAGCGTGAGGATGTCACATGCACTGTGCTACATTCATTCTCTAAATAATCTCATTTAATCCAACAACAATAATTTGAATCAGGAAGAAATGTTAACACTTTGCACATTTCAAAATGAGGGCTCAGATAGCTGATCTGCTTTGTCCAAGGTCACACAGCTATTAAATGGCAAAGTAAGGACCTGAACCTAGTTCTATCTACTCCCAACTCAATGCTTTCAACCATCACCCTCATCATCTCCACCAAGATAGCGACTTTCCTGTGGTACCTACTAGATGCTGGAAAACATGGGCCTGAGAGAACTTTTAAATATGAAATTATAACTCTTTGCCCACTGAGATTCTTATTTTTAAAAACCCAGAGGAAGATTATATTAATATATTTACTTAATATTTATGTGCAATCTTTACATTTACAAAATGCTTTATAGTGTAACAGAATGGGCAGAAATTTTTGTTTGGGGATATAATTGTCTTTTCTTTCATATTCATTTATTCCTTTGATTTGTATAATATGTTCTCCACTTGGTCTTCTGAGATCATGTACAATGGTAACAAATTTTAAATAAGATTAATAAAAGATTATTTTGTATCACTAATAGGGAAAGCTGACTAGGGCCATGCCTGTCTCCGTTCTTTATAAATGGTATGCAAAAGAGTATAATGCCATCCCCAGAATACTGTCTATAACACCAGATGTGCTTATTCATGGTGCTTTAAAAATATATTGAGCTCCTATTCCTCATTTATTCTGTGGTATTCACTTTCTGCCCTTCAGGTGGTTGAGGATCTCACCAGTTTGGATGACGAAATAACTTTGGTGAGCATCATATCAAGTAGCCATGCTATGCCCTTCTTTCATTGATCATCAAGCAAGAATCCTCAGCAGAGCTTTCTTCCTGACAGTTCCCTCCGCCTGGAAATCTTTTCCCAGATGGTCACATAACTGCTGTGTTCAGTTTCCTCTGGCCTGAAATCAAGAGGCACCTTCTCCAAGAGGCCTGCCCCAACCCCAGATCCCAAAGAACCCCTTATCTGAGGTGTATCCTGGCATCTCTTTTATTTTCTCTTTAGCACATAGTACTTTGTGTTAAGAACCCTAGAGTTCCAGGGTTTGGTGAGAATAGATTTTAAAAATATGTCGATAGGCCAATATTGTGTCATTTTTCAATTGCCACCATCTGCTTTAAGATGAATCTTTTAAGGAATCTCCGTAGCGTAAAGTATTCTGAGGGCTTACGATACATTCCCTGTCTTTTTAAGGACCCAGGTCATTACTGAGGATGACATACAAATATGAGGCTGGGTCAAATGCCTATATGTGGTCAACTTACAAGGTTCTAAATAACTTGTATGTGTAATCAGCAGATTAAAAGTTATTCTCAAAAAAAAAAAAAGATTGTCTCATCCTTGTATGCATGTGTGCGAATATTAATTTTTTTCTTTAAAACTTGGAGGCAGGGGATCCCTGGGTGGCTCAGCGGTTTAGTGCCTGCCTTAGGCTCAGGGCGTGATCCGGGAGTCTCAGGATCAAGTTCCACATCAGGCTCCCGGCATGGAGCCTGCTTCTCCTCTGCCTCTCTTTCTCTCTCCCTCTGCGCCGCCCCCCCTCGTCTTTCATGAATCAATAAATAAAATCTTTAAAAAAAAAAAAAACTTGGAGGCAGAAGTGCTTCAGTCAAGTGTGGTTAGATCAGGGCAAGGGCACCAGGGTGGCTCAGTCAGTTAAGTGTCTGACTCTTGGTTTCAAGGCTCAAGCCATGATGTCAGGATCGTGAGATTGAGCCTCACATCACACTCTGCATTCAGCACAGAGTCGGCTTGAGTTTCTTTCTCCCTCTTCCTCTGCTCCTGCCCCCTCATCAAATCAACCTATAAATCTTAAAAAAAAAAAAAAAAAAAAAAAAAGAGCAGTCCTGTACTGGGTCAGGGGCCTGCAGGGGGGACAGGCAGACTGTTTAAATGGTTCTCAAACTCAGGCTGCACATTATTGATAATGTTATATCCTACCAATGAGGACCAATCAAATTCTGACCTCAAGGGGTGAGCTCAGGCGCTAGTATGTTTTCCCGAATCACAGGGAGGGGTGAAAACCACTGCGGGTCAACAGGAGGCCAGCAGCTGTTCTTGAGGAAAGTGAGCAACAGTTGTTGGCCTCTGCTTTCCCCAGGCCATCAGGTAGAGGTGCCCGATTCCCGTTCAGCTCAGAATCCCTGTGTCCACATCGCCATGGTTTCTAGAACTAGTCTTTCACACCATGTTCCGATGAGCCTAGTGGTGCTGTCACTTCACCCTCCCCTTGGGCCTGGTCTTCAATTTCCTGATTGCTCTTCGACTACCTTCCTGGTTTCTCAGCCCGCTGGTACGTAGTCAGGCACAGACCTGCCAACCTCTTCCTCTTGGAGTCAGGCCCTGTTCCCCACGCCCCAAGCCACCAACTGGGGTCCTGCTTCAAATGGGTTGGGTGACCCAAATCACAGTGGAGTCCCTCCCGACTCATCACAGCCTGGGACCTCTTGCCACCACCAAATCCTCTGACAGATCCATCACCTTGAACGTGGACCCCTGCACAAGACCTTTGGATTCACAAAGAAATGCGTTCACCTCATTAGCAGTCACATGGCAAGGGGAGGTGTGAAGGATGGGGACCATTAGTGAGATCAGTCCACCACGGGTAGGAGGCAAACAGAGGAGGTGCTGATGGAGGATTTCTGGAAAGAAGCGAACATCATACAGACATCAGCTACACAGGGAGTTTACTTCGACCCGGAGTGAAAATAAGGTGTGACACAGTGACAGTGGTGATCACATGGCTGTGAAGTGTCCAAAATTTGGCAACTCAGTGGGGCATGAGAAAGGTGTGCAAACCACTTAGGTCACTAGTGAAAACCACAGAGTGCCGCTCAAAGGCATGAACCTGAGGAGACGGTGGGCTTGGGTTAGATTCTGTCCAGGACCGGTAGGTCCACACTGCAAAGCAGCCTTCTCCCGGGGAAGCAGGGAAGCCAGGGCTACTGCAACCGCAGCCAGGGTTGTGGGAAGCCTATACACCCAGTTGTTCTAGGCACCCTGGGTTCATCACCTGGCTTCCAGCACAGGGGCTTTAGCTCCCAACCTCCTCTTCTCCAGGCACCTGGGTGCATTGCATTTCCCTGACCCTTTGAAATGTGAGAGGAAGTGTCATGTATCACTTCCTTGTGGAAGCAATCAAGAGCTACTGCTATTTTGTTGTCACCATTGGCCCCTGCAGCCCGCCCCCACCAGACAATGAACCATCAGCCTCATGTTCAGATGGTATCATCAAAAAATGGTGGAGCCTTGGGTCTCTGAGTGACTATATACAGCTCAGCCACCTGCTGGCCCACACTGGACAGATGGCATGAAAAAGATATGAACCTTTCTTGTGCTAAGCCACAGAGCGGCAGAGGGTGTTTATGGTTGCAGCAGAGCCTAGCTTATCCTGACCAATTTGAGGACTTGCTGCATGAATGTGTCCTTGTAAATTCTCTAGAACTTCAACGTTTACCTCTAGCCTGGTAAAGTAGTGGAAGCAGGTTTTTTCTTTTCTTTTCTTTCTTTTCTTTTCTTTTCTTTTCTTTTTCTTTTTCTTTTCTTTTCTTTTCTTCTTTTCTTTTCTTTTCTTTCCTTTCCTTTTTTCTTTTCTTTTTCCTTTCCTTTCCTTTCCTTTCCTTTCCTTTTCTTTTCTTTTCTTTTTTCTTTTCTTTTCTTCATCACTGAGAGAGGGAAAGAGTTTCTGGCCTCACCTTCCTGTGCTCATGTAAGTGGGTGGAGGCAAAGGGAAGAAGAATGAAAGAGGACTGCTGCTGGCGTCTTATTCACTGCTGTGCATGCAGTCAACCTGCAGAACAGCCTGGCTAGAGGATTTTCATTTTTATATTACAGATGAAGGAGAGCTCAAGATAGGTTAAGTCATTTGCCTAAAAATCCCATAGCTGGGACCAAAACCCAAGCCCATCTGACTTCAAAATCTGTGTTCTTTTCCCACAGCATAAACATACAAGGAGTGAGCTTTAAACTCCTTCTAGCCTATTCGTATTTTTCTCCTACCCATAATCTCTTTAAAATAATCTTTAGTTAGGTCAATCTACTATTCAAAGCTATTATTCTTAGAATTATGTTCTTCTTTCATTCCACCCAGATTTGTTTTTACTGATCTTTGACACCTGAGGTGCTACAAATCTGTGTGTTTGTTTAAACTCCAATCAAACACACTCGTGTTTGTTTTAAGTTGGAATATCACCGCCAGCATATCTGGAAACGCCTCCTCAGCAGCTTCAGGTTTTAAGAAATGTGAGGGTTGCTGTTTGTGGCGAGGCTCTAGGAGGAGAGAGTGGGATGAGACAGAGGAGGAAGAGGTTTATTTGTGCAAAGAGGGAAAATGAAGGTTTACTCAATTAACAGAGACCTTTTGGTACGTGGGATCTTCTCAGCTGCCAATCTGTGACCCTTAGAAATGTTATGAGGCATTTACTTCCCGCTGGGCCTCACCAAAAAAGTCAGATGAAATCACGGTGCAGACCCGCAACTCACCCCCTCCGTGCACATGGGATGGTTCACTTGGCTTTGAAAGTGCAGCCAAGCTGCTTCGTTCAGACGTCGGCGGAGGACAAGACTCGGCCTGCCTTCTCTGACTCCTGACATGACTTCTCGATGGAGAGCCAGGATTTTTCTCAAGTGTAACAATATTAATTATCAAGTCACTTTAAAACACGTGTGATGTATGTGTGCATTTATTTCACAGGAATGGTATAAAGATTAAATACTTAATGAATCCATTTTTCATATCAAGGATATATTTGCCCTACGCCTAAATATATCTCTCCCTTCTGTTTCTCATGAGAAATATAGCTATCTTTATTATGTAATCAGTAATATATCATTCCTTCTAAGCAGGATCTAATTTTAGCAACATGATGAATGGCCCAGGAATGTACTCCACTGCCCTCTGCAGAAAGGAATATATATCAGACCTGCTCAGGTGTGTGTCATTTCTTTATATCCAGAGCTTTCTGCTCCCCAAGTGGCAGCCCGGGTTTTTCTGGCTGAAAGCCCCAAGTTCTGTCTCCGTTTCGGCTCGCGCAGGCACCATTAGGAAACGACCATGTGTGAACAATAACCAGGTTTGCTAGCTCCAGCCAATGAGGGATGTGGCTCTCTTGAGCCTGGGTTTATTGCACCAGCTAGAAAATGACCCACTGGGGTTTTTTTCCTCCTTCAATTCATTTCTGAGCGGCAACTGCTTGCAGAGGACTACCTCCAAGTCCCCAACCACCAACTCTCATTTTTTTCCCATTTTGTCTTTAAGCAGAGAAATTTCTTTAAAATGCAGGAATCATTCCACTTTGACTAGCACGATAAGGAATCAGTATCTTCTTTTTTTCTTGAGCTCCAAGGAGAAAATGTTCATTTTTCTTCCGTGCTACCTGTGAGTTTTCTGGCTGCTTCTGAACATTCATCACAGGTACCTGCACCCCACATCTTGATAAAACTTTAATTTTAAAATGATGTTGAGGGCGCCCGGGTGACTCAGTCGGCTGGGCATCTGCCTTCTGCTCAGGTCATGATCCCAGGATCCTGCAGTGGAGACCCGAGTCAGGCTCCCTGCTCAGTGGGGGGTCTGTCTCTCCCTCTCCCTCTCCCCCTCCCCCTCCCTCTCCCCCCTGCTCATGCTCTCTCTCTCTCTCTCTCTCTCTCTCTCTCTCTCATTCTCTCTCAAATAAATAAGTAAAATCTTTTAAAAAATAAAATGACGTTGAATTCGTTTTTAATTCACCTGTAAGAGAGGCAAAGCAGTACTTTATCCTCATTTTGCAGCTGTGAAGATTGAGGCTTGGGCAGATTAAAATGTGACTCATTCAAATTTTGAGATATGGCCCCGTAAGGACCCAAACCTATAACTCCCTATCATGCAACTTACTATGCCTAATATTTAACGGTTTATATACAAGATGGAAGATGAACCTTAGGAGTTTTTGTTTTGTTTGTTTGTTTTTGTTTGTTTGTTTTTGCAAAATTGTATATGTAAAACTCTGAAATTCTTTGGGCAACTACTATATTTTTTGATCCTAAGACATTTTTCCCCCTCATATTCGTGCCTCTGAACCTGGGATACACCCTACAGCCAAAAGGGAATCATAATCTAATTGGCAATTCTTTTTCTTTCTTAGTGGTCACAGCAGACTGATCCCTAAAACGTCCCAATCTTCACCTCCTCTTCATCTCCTTGGCCTTTGCAATGTCGCTTTGTAACAGGTCAATTTCCTTACGCCTTGAAAACGGATTGGTCTCATCTTTACTTATTTCTGTAGAGGGCGCTATGGTGCCCTACCTATTCCCCTTTGCTCTTACCCACTTCAGCCTGCC